TTGATCGATGGTAAAAATGTTTTTCGTTTCGTTTCGGTAAAGATTTCTTATCTTAATGATGGAAGATAAGAAGCAGAAGAAGAAAAACGATGAAACAAAAATCTAAAAAGATGCGCAAAAATGATGATGAAAAACGACGAAAACGAAAATCCTATTTTAAAACATTTATTTTTTTTTCCTTTTTTAAAAAATTTAAAAAAAAAATTCAAATCAAAAAACGACAAATTTGAACATTGATTGGTCTCGTTTATTGAGTGGACCACTGTTGTTGTTGTTCTTTTCAAAGAAAAATTATGTAATTTTCTTCTGGAAAAAAAACTTTCATTCTTTTTTTCTTTTCTTTTTGTTATTTATTGATCATCACAGGACAATAAACAAGTCGAGGAGATCAGCAGGAGAAGAAGCGAGAAAACATGTGAAGATTGAATCTGGATTTTTTTAAAGAAAAATTGATGACAATAATGATGAGATGACAACGACAACAGAAGAAAAGAAAAGAAGCGAAATTTGAAAAAATGATGGTGACCAATAAAGATTTTTGTTTTGTCCAAAATGAAACATCGAACATCTTATAAAGATCTTATAAAGTACGAAAAGAAAAGTAACAAATTTTGTTTCAAAAAAACATCATCATTATCATTATTGTGGTGGTCAAAATAAGTATCATCAAATTTGGCCGATAACGACGACAACATCGAAGACAAGCAAGTGAAGAGGAGCAATGCAAAACGAACTACTAAAAAAGAAACTATTGTGTGTTAACGAGATGAAAAACGAATCAGCGAAGAAGAAGAAAACGAATCAAATGAAGAAGAAAAATATCCTTTTTCCCCTTTAATGATAATTATATACCTATGCAGAGCCGATAAGAATGAAAATCAGAAAAATCAGCAATGGTGATGATTATGAACAATACATGCCGATTATAGCTGGCGAGCGAGATTTACTGATTTATTGTTCTTTGGTAGTTGCTATTGGTGGTGGTGATTGGTGTTCATCAACGGAGAAGATATTCGAGAAGAAGATATGAGTGAAAGTTTTGTTTGTTTCATGATGGTGGTGAAAACAAAATTCAAATTCGAAACCTTTCTTTGCTTGGCCAAACTATGATGATGATCATCATCAACATCACCATACCCGATAACGAAAAAAAATGATAATGGTAGGAATACCTGATAGGTAATTTTTGCTAGAAAAAGAAAGTTTTCTTAGTTTCTCAAGTCACGATTTTTATGTCTAATATGATTTATGAGAGTTTGACGATACAGCATCCACTAACAGAAACAAACAAAAAATGTTTCTTCATCATCTTCATACGTCATAAGTCACCAAAAATAAAAAATTGATGGAAAATCAAATAAGTGTTTTAACACTATGGGATCCCCGCCATCCCCATCATAATCATCATCAAGAAGAAAAAAAAATCATGGCAAGCCCTGAAGCTTTTTCGTGAATTATGAATTGCACGATTTTTTTCGTTGAAATCCTATATACGTAATGTTGTTGATGGTGGATCGGAATTCGATGATGATTATGAGGATAATTTTTAAAAAAAGTTTTTTACAAATTTTATTTTTTACAAAAGGGACTAGGAATTTTTTTATTTTTTATTAACAATTTTTTCAACCAATTCTTTGTATTCACGATTATCTTCCCATGGTCTTGGTCCACGTATATTTTTCCATTCTTCATTCCGGCCTAATTCTATTAATTTTTTCAAATCATCACTATTATCATCTTCAATGGTGGCAGCGGTTGATGATTCTTTCATTTCTTCATCATCGGATTTTTCCGATTCTTCCAAAGCATAATCATGGTCTCGACGCTTGTTTCCCTTTGTTTGTTTAACATTGAAACGAAACGAAAATGAAAAGAAAAAAACATAGAATTAAGTAACCAACCGTAAAGTAACAAGTATTATTATCATCATTAAACACTTACCATATAACGTCTACGATAATTATATACTTCATAACGAATTGATGTAAATTCACGAAGTAAAAATGATCCCAATACCATAAAACTCTTTAAGGATTAAATATTTGTTGATTTTATTAATAATAATCATTAAATAAAAAGTGGATTACAAAATATACCAGAAATGGCAGGCCATATTTTAGCAGTGTATTGGATTTTAGCGCTTTTTTATAATTCATTTTTTTAAAAATTACAAATTTTGTTTAAAAAAAAATTACAAAAATATGAAATTCACATGTTTCGAATATAAAATTTTTTTTTTGGAAAAACAATCGTCTGTTCATAAACAACGATACACTATTGTCACATGTTGTCTGTTTGTGTTTTTCAAATTTTTAAAAATTTTGAAAAACAAAAATGTTAAAAATTGTTCAATATTCTCGTCATTTTGCTGTAAATTCTTATCAATCAATTTTATCGACAGCAAAATGTCTAGATTTACATCAAAATATGATTATAAATCATCAACAGTTACGAAATTCATATAGTTTTTTCAATCGAAGTTTGTTGCAATTTAATTTATGATTTTTCTTTTTGTTGAATGAATTATTAATCAATTTGTTTTTTTTTCTCTTTTTAAAGTGCCTGGTGAACAGATATGGAAAGGATTATTATCGGTCAGTAATGCAGGTAGAAGAAGAGGTCGTGGTAAAGGTGCTAATCGAAAAATGTATAAAGATTTAAATCGTGGACAAATTATGGGTGTTGGTGAAAAGAATTTTCTTTGGCCTGGCCTTAATGCACCGGTTATGAAAGGAAGTGAAGTAGTACAAATTAAAGAATTAAAAGTTGATCCTGCTTATAAGGAAAATCTGATAAAAATTCGTGATCAAATGGAAAAAAGAAAACGAGCTTATGTACATCCATTGGAACGTGGATGGAGTGGTACAAAACTATTGGGCAAATGGATTGGACCACCGGATCCGATTGCCGGTGAAGAATTCATTGGTTTCGATACAAAATTATTGATGGTTAAACCAGTTTTCTATATGAAACCAAATTTCGGTCGTACGAAAATTATTTCAGTTTTAGCTGTTACTGGTAATGCAAATGGTTTAGTTGGTTATGCTATTGCTAAATCCGAAGATCTTCGTACTGCAATTAATAATGCAAAAAATAAAGCTGGACAACGATTATTCCGGGTAGAATTGGATCAGAATACAATATTACATGATTTTTATTCACGTTTTGGTTCATCAAAAGTATTTGCAATGAAAAAACCACCTGGTTATGGTCTATCAGCTCATCGTTGTTTACGTAGTATTTGTGATGTAACCGGTATCAAAGATATTCATTGTAAAGTTGAAGGTAGTGAACGTAATTATCTAAATTTAACACGTGCATTTTTATTGGGTTTAATCAATCAGAAAACCTATCAACAAATGGCCGATGAAAAACGATTGAATGTTGTTGAAATTAATGAATGTTTAGGTAATTATCCAATATTAAAAGCTAAACCATCGGATAATGTTGGTGGTTGTCGTACGGATGAACAAATTGGTGATACAGAAATATTAGATTTTAATATTTTTATACATGATGGTAAAGTAAAAGAACAGGAAAATTTGAAACCAGTTTATTATACTGAACAAAATGGTTGGAAAAATTATATGAAAAAATGGAATTATCGTAAAAGTCGTGAACAAGTACGTATTAATTTAATTGCACGTTATGGTCAATTGGAAAGTTATTTAACCATACGGGAAAAAGAACGTTTACAAGCAAAAAGAGATAAATTTCTTTCTACAACAACAACAACAAAATCTGATTAACAACAACATTTACCTTTGTTTAATAATAATAATAGTAATTTTTATTTAATTAAAAATCTTGTTTTGTTTTATAATTTCAACAAAATTAATTAATGAATTTTTTATTCATTTTTTAAACCATTTTTCATTGGTTTGGTTGCGTTATTAGTGATGGTTGCGTTAGTGTTATTAGTGACGGTGGTGTTATTTGTGTTGTTGGCAGTAGGTGTTTGATGTGGTTCAGGTAACTTATCAAACGATGGTTCAACATTCCAAATTTCACGACCATATTCGGCAATCGTACGATCACTGGAAAATTTTCCCGATGATGCAATATTCAATATTGTTTTACGTGTCCATTCGATTGGATTCTGGAGGAAGGAAGAAAAAATCATGAAAGATAATCATGAAAGAAATTTGCCAGGAAAGTAAAATTAAAATTACCTTATATAAATCGGAAACTTTTTCCTGACAATCCAAATATGATTGATAATCAGCAAAAACAAAAAATCGATCATGATTAAGTAAAACATTAACAACATCTTTAAACATATCCGGATTTTTTGGACTGAAAAAACCATTATTAATCTGATCGATTGCCATTTTCAATTCAACATTTGTATTATAATAATTCCATGCATTATAACCCGTTTGTTTAAGTTGTTCAACTTCTTGTTCATTCATACCGAAAATGAAAATATTTTCTTTACCCATTTCTTCCATCATTTCAACATTTGCACCGTCCAATGTACCGATTGTTAGGGCACCATTCAACTGAAGTTAATTTGAAAAGAATTAGTTTTTGTTATGAGATATTTTATTACAAAGAATCAAAACACACGCTTACCATAAATTTCATATTACCAGTACCGGATGCTTCAGTACCGGCTGTAGAAATTTGTTCACTTAAATCAGCAGCTGGTATAATTTTTTCAGCAAATGATACACGATAATTTTCCAGAAAAACAACCTTAAGTTTATTACCAACAACTGGGTCATTGTTAACCACTTTAGCTACTTTATTAATTAAACGAATAATTTGTTTGGCCATATGATAACCGGGTGCTGCTTTTCCGCCAATCTTTTAGCAAGAAAAACGAAAAACAAACGAAAAATCAAATCAAAAATCATTTTCAAAATCAATAATGATAAAGAAAAAAAAAACAAAACAAACCATAATAGTACGTGGTACAATCGATATATTTGGATTACATTTAATACGATTATATAATGTAATTATATGTAAACAATTCAATAATTGTCTTTTATATTCATGGATACGTTTAACCTGTATATCGAATAATGATGCTGGATTAATTTCAATATTCATTTCTTTTTTTAATATTTCAGCTAGACGCATTTTATTTTCTTGTTTAACACGTTGTATATCACGTATGAAATTTGCATCATTAATAAATTGTTTTAATTTTTGTAATTGTTCTAGATGAATAATCCATTCTTCACCAATTTTATCACTTATTAAATCAGATAAACCGGGATTACATAATAATAACCATCTACGTGGTGTTATACCATTTGTTTTATTTGTAAATTTTTCCGGTGTCATTTCATAAAAATCTTTAAATACGGTTTTCTTTATAATTTCCGAATGAATAGCCGCAACACCTGTTAGAAAAATTTTAGAGAAAAATAACAAGGTAAAACAACAGCAAAAACATTCACATTTACCATTAACTTTATGGCTACCAACAACAGCTAAATTTGCCATATTAACTTTTTTATCATCACCTTCTTCAATCAATGATAAACTACGTAATTTATCCAGATTATTTGGATATAATTCACTAACACGTTGTAAATGTCTAGCATTAATTTCATAAATAATTTCTAAATGTCTGGGTAAAACATGTGCTAATAGGCCACATGACCAACGTTCTAATGCTTCCGGTAGTACAGTATGATTAGTATAAGCGAAAACTTTTGTACAAATATTCCAGGCTTTTTCCCATGGCATTTTTTCCAAATCAATGAAAATACGCATCAATTCCGGTATGGCTAATGATGGATGTGTATCGTTTAATTGTATGGCAACTGGAAAAATGAAAAAAAATGAATTCCAAATGCAAACAAACCAGAAAATTTTTGTTACCTTTATCCGGAAATTCATCAAACGAATTCCTGACAACAATCTGTTCACCAAATTTTGCATTCCTATACCGACGAATAATATCCTGTAATGTTGCAGCACAAAGAAAATATTCTTGTTTTAAACGTAATTCACGTCCTTCAAATACATTATCATTTGGATATAAAACCCGTGTAATGTTTTCGGCAAAATTTCTATCCAGTACAGCTTGTATATAATCACCATTATTAAAAAATTTTAGATTAAAATTATGTGGTGATTTTGCACACCATAAACGCATTGTATTAACATAATTATTTTGATAACCAGGTATTGGACTATCATATGGCATTGCTTGTACTGTTTGTGTATCGATCCAATGTGCACCTGTTTCATCATGCAAAACACGACCATAAAAATGTATAGGTATCAGATATTCTGGCCTAGCTTTTTCCCATGGATTACCAAAACGTAACCAATCATCCGGTTCTTCTATTTGTTCTTCATCAATAATTTTCTGTGTAAATATACCATATTCATAACGTAAACCATAACCATAACCGGCCATACCAAGCGTTGCCATTGAATCAAGAAAACAAGCTGCTAACCGTCCTAAACCACCATTACCAAGACCAGCATCTTCTTCGATTTCTTCCAATTCTTCAATATCCAAACCCATTTGATATAATGCTTCATCACATGCTGATTGTATGCCAATATTAATCATTGTATTTGTTAATGTACGACCCATATAATATTCTAATGATAGATAATAAACACGCTATTCGGAAATATTCACGGGAAATTATAAATTTTCTAACGAAATTCTCATATTTTTCTTACCTTTGGATCTTTTTCATAATAATTTTGTTGTGTACGAATCCAACGAGATGTTAAATGATCACGTACACTATGTGCTAATGCTAAATAAAAATCTCTTGATGTTGATACGATACGATCTTTAACCACTGTATAATGTAAATGACGATTAAATGATTGTTTTATATCATTTACATTACCAACTTTATAAATTATAAAAAAAAATTTGTAAAATTAATCACTTTAATTCGATTGAAAAATTACAAAAATTTAAAACATACCGGTAGCAATATTACGAACACTAATCTGTTTACGTCGTTCAAGATCAGTTTGCGAAGCGGATGCCATTATTGATTGATTGATTGATTGGTGGAAAAAAATTTTAATTATAAAAAAAATTACAAATTCAAAATTTACAAAACTTCAAAATTAAAATGATAATAATATTTCTGTGTTAAATTTCTAATATCACACTGAAATGAAGAGAAAAAAATCCCACAATCACAACTGTCTTATATAACAGAAGATTTTTCGTTTTTGTTTTGTTTTTGTTGTTTCTTTTTTCTCACACACACACACACAATCACAACAAAAATGATTAAAAATAAAATGATTTTCTTATCATCATCATTACTGATTAATAATCATCATCATGGTAGCATCATCTCATTCTTCGTTTGGTTTCGCTTCATAAACAGAAAAAACAACAAAAAAAAAACAAAAATCTTGTCTTTAACGTCCTTGAACGATGGAGGGAGAAAAATATTCAAATTCAAATGAATGAACATAAAAAAAAACAAAGAAAAACGACAATAAATTTTATTTTCGACTTTTGATGTGTTTTGGTTTTCTCTGCATTGACAAATTCAATTCCATTCAATTTTTCGGTTTTTGATGTTTACAGGGTAAATGTATTAACACGAATTCCATGCTGCTCACTTGTTGTTGTTGTTGTTTTTCTTAAAATCGACCGGCCGGCCGGTTCTTAAGACCACCACCAAAACGATCATGTTTTCTAATCATGTTTGGCGCGCGCCAACAACCTTAATTAGATTAACGAAAGGAAAATGGAAAAAATATTTTTAGCATTCTATTTTCCATCGAAAAACAAAGAATGAATGAAAAAAGGAAACCAAATTTCGATGCCAGGGACATATGAATGTCGTTTTGAATTTTTCAAAAAGAAAAAAATGAAAATTTGTCAAAAATTTTGTAAAAAAAACTTGTTTCCCCCCTTGCTATCAATTTCCGATAAATTTTTTTTTTTGCTATTTTTTATCAGAAATCATTGGCATGATTTTATTGAGGGAAAAAACGTTTTTTTGCCTGTCAAAAATGTCAAGATAATTTCCATTTTTTGGACACAATTTTTTTCTCATCGAAAATATATTTTACGAAGTATAAACAAAATCAGGGCAAATCAAATCGAAATTTTTGAAAAAAAGATTTACATTTTATCACCACTAGATGGCGACTGTGTTTCCAATTTTGAAATTTTTAAAATTTTCCAATTTTCAAAAGTTTTTTCAATTTTAGTATTTTTTTTTGATAAAATATTTTCAGGATCAGGACTTTAGCATCATCCTGGTTATCATCCATCATAATTTCATCAACAGAAAAATCTTTAATCGCCGTTCCGAATTTTCGAGCACGTTTTAAAAAAAAAAATCAAAACTGAAAATCAAAAACTATAATCATCTTTTGCTGCTTACTGGCCTGGACTTTTATTGATAAGCTTAATAATTTTGATTTCTTCGAAATCATTTTCAAAAAAAATAATAAATAAATAAACTTCAAACATTCAGTCAATTTATCTATTTTTTCAATGAAGTTTTTTTTAATTAATTTAATCTGACAAAATGATGATGATGATCAAATGAAATTAATAACCGGATTAAAAATGATTTCCGAAACAAAACAAAAAAAAAATACCCGACACACACACACATATTGTTTTTTTAAAATGTCAGGATCATTAATTTTTCTCTTGTTTTGTTTTTCGGAAATTCTGCCAGAAAAGATTACCACCACCACCACCAGGAATCAAATTGAATTTCATAACCATAAATAATGATGAAGAATCTGCTGCTGAAAATTAATTATCCAGAAACGGAATTTATTTTTAATCCATCCTGTATCAGTCAAAATGAAATGTTTCAATGATGATTCTTTGATGGATCAGATGGTAATTGTCACACGCCACTTAATGAAATGAAATTTTGTTCGCAATAGAAGAATATTCTGTTTTTTTTGCTGTTCGAGAATTATCATCTTATCCAATCTTTTGCTGATGTTATATAAATCAATGAATGTTAGTTAGTTTAGTTTAGTTAACACCATAATGTAACATTCATTCATTCATTCATTTTGTTTGGGTGCGAAAAACCCAAAACTTACACCGGGATTAACTCAGAGAATCTGTGAGATTCTGTTACTGGTGTTGTTACAGTGAAATTCTGAAAAATATTCCTCGATACCTCGAAGAGAAAATCGATTGATTGATTGATTGATTGATTGATTGATTAATCAATCAATACAATAATGGGTTAAATCTTGATTTTAACACTTTGTTACCTTTGTTTAACAAAAAACAAAAAAAAACAAAAGATAAATAAAAAACAACAACAGCAGTAGTACCACAAACAATAATAAAACATTGACTTTACTCATCATCATCATCATTGTAATTACATTAATAAACAAACAAACAAACATCAAATCAAAATAGGTAAATATTAGTTAATGATTAGCTTTTTTCTTCAATGAAAAAGGAAAAAAATGATAATTATTTATTTACAATCAAATCAATCATTTGGTTTTGATTGGTTGTTGTTGTTGTTTTTATAATTTTCAAGTGTAAAAACAACAATCAAACAACAATTCACAAATACCGTATATATATCAAATGTAGAGAGAGAATCCTATTGGAATTTCAAAGCCAGAAACAAAATTCTATCAAAATTTTTTGTTTTCGTCTTCAAAATCTCGATCTATATTTGTTGAATGTGTAAATAGACATAGAGAGAGATAAATGTTTAGATAATGATGATGATAGGCAAATACCTTGAGTTAATATTTGCATTAATCAAATATTTAAAAGTGTTTTTCTTTTTCTGGTTCTGTGTTCTGTGTGTTCTATGTTCCGTGTGTGGTAAGTTAGTGTTTAATAAAGACAAACATCATCATCATCATCATCATCATCATCAATGATGATGAATAAAAACACACTAATTGGTAAATATTTATTATTATTGTTTATATAAAATTTATATATTTACAATAATAAACTTATTTATATATTTACACTTACTTATAAAACATTACATTACATATAATATAATATATCAACGGGAGCAAACAGATTTAATTAAATATATACTTTATTTACAAATGGATAGTGTGGATATTTTTAAACACACTTATAATGGAATAAGTGAATAATAGCAGGATAGATAGATAATTATATATTCATTGAAAATTTGTAACGAAATTTTTTGGTTTTGTTTGTTTGATTTAAACAAAGAAAAGGACAACGAATGTTTTTCAATGTTTTTTTTCAATGTTTTTTCAATGCTTTTTTGGTTGTGAAAATTGTTGTTGTTTTTCAAGTTTCTTATGGCAAACCTTAAAAAACAAATCATTTAAAGATAATAGAAGAAAAAGGGGTGAGGTAAGAAAAGATAATAAAAAGATAAGATTTGAACAGATATCATCATTATCTATATCTACCCAATGTGTAAATAGAATTATCAAGTTCCGATCGATTGAAATGTGTGCGTTTTTTGATAACCAAAGGGAAAAAAAACAAAATGAATGATAACGGAATAACTTTTTTCTTAAATTGCTTTTTTTTTTCTTCTTGAAGATTTCTTATCTGTCATATTTTTTCCAATTAAAACCAAACCAAACTAAACAAATAAATGTGTGTGTGACGATTATAGTTTCAAAATTTTTCGATTATCATCAACAACAAAAAACGATATTTGGTGACGACATCAGCAGCAGCAGCAACCGAATGAAAATCCAACAACATTCTTCGATGACATTAATCATCATCATCTCTCGGTGATGATAATAATGATGATGAACAATCTGAATGTGTGAATTTAGCCGATAGCTAAACCAAAAGGCAAAGCAAAAATTTTTTATTAAACTTTTTTTTCAAAGTTTGAATGGTGATTATCATTTTTTCTTATAGCTTTTTCTCTGGTTCTCTTTCAATAAATCTTATTTTTCATTCACTAGATGATAAAGATGAACATCTGTGTGTGTGTGCGGATAAGATAAATGTAAATAGCAAAATCTCTATATTCATTTTATCATCATTTTTCATCGTCGATATAGATCGATGATTTTATCTGACAATTTTTTTTTTTTGGCTAAAAAGCTAAAAAGCTAATGTAGATAATGTAGATAATGTGGATAATGGATAAAGAAAATTTTTTTTTTGTTGTATAAACACACCCCCTCCTCCCCCTTTTCCCCTATATATTTATTATAGAATGGATAGGTTAAAATAGAAAGGAGGTGTGTCTTTGTTTACATTATTACAGAAAAAAATGAAAATTTGTCTCTCTCTCTCTCTCTCTCTCTCTCTCTCTCTCTCTCTTATAGTGATCTGATCAAATGAAAATTAAATGATGATGATGACAGATAAAAAGAAAGAAGAAAGGAAACTTGGTTCAATGATGGTACAAATAAAAAAAAAAGATGATATGCAATGAAGAAAGGAAAGCAGCAACAAAAACCAGGCAATATTTTCAATGTGAGATAATTATATANATAAGATAAATGTAAATAGCAAAATCTCTTTATTCATTTTTTTTTTTTTTGTTATCATCATTTTTCATCGTCGATATAGATCGATGATGATAATGACGATTTTTTTTTGGCTAAAAAGCTAATGTGGATTAAAGAAATTTTTTTTTTTGTATAAACATACCCCCTCCTCCTCTTTTCCCCTATATATTTAGTAGAATGGATAGGTTAAAATAGAAAGGAGGTGTGTCTTTGTTTACATTACAGAAAAAAAAAATTTGTCTCTCTCTCTCTCTCTCTCTTATAGTGATCTGATCAAATGAAAATTAAATGATGATGATGACAGATAAAAAGAAAGAAGAAAGGAAACTTGGTTCAATGATGGTACAAATAAAAAAAAAAAGATGATATGCAATGAAGAAAGGAAAGCAGCAACAAAAACCAGGCAATATTTTCAATGTGAGATAATTATATATTTCCAAGGCAAAAAAGAAAAGAAAATGCTGTGGTTTTTCTCATCATCTAATAATGAAAAATTTATTTGATTTTTTGGTTTGGTTTGCTGCGTGGGTTTTATATAGTGTATTTTTTTGGTGTGAAGATCGAGAGAGAGAGAATAAAATAAAATGAAAGAAAAGGAAATGACAATCAAACAAACCAACCAAACGACAACAAGATGATGATGATATTT